CCTTCTCGGGGTTGGCGAGTAGCGACTCCGGCACCAGGCCGCTGCCTGCGCCCGCATGCAACCCGGCGCCCGCCTTGAGCGCCGGGTGCTCAGCGTCGGCCACGCCGCCCAGGCCGTAGGGCACCGGAAAGGCGAACTTGTCCTTCTTCAGCAGCGTCTTGGGCTTGCGCCGCGGCCGGTACTTGTAGTCGGGGTGCTCCTTCATGTGCATGGCACGCAGCCGCTTCGCCTCGTCTATGAACGGTCGCTTCTCCGACTCCGTGAGCAGCTTCCACTCAGCGCCCAGGCGCTTGCTGATCTCCGAGTTGTGCATCTTAGGGTTTTCCTGGGCCATCTTGCGCCGCTGCGCCCGCGACCACACCATGAAAGCGTTCATGGGCCGCTTGACGTGGTCCACTGGCTTGGACATGCTTTCTCCGTGCCGCGGCTGCAGCCCGCCGCCGCCGCCCGGGCCGTCACCCTCGGCCCGGAGGAAATCAATGTTGGCTGTCCTCGGGGACCCGTTCGGCCCGCCCGCACTCGCCGTACCCGACTTCGCGCCCCGGCGTCGCTCCCGCCTGGGAGAAGGGGGCCGGGGGACCAGCCCGGCGCCGCGCCGCGCCCTGGACTGTCCCAATCTCTCTGGCCAAGCACTCGGGGAAAATCCTCTCCGGAGCACGATAACTTCTAGGCGGTGTCCCCACCCCACGGTGGCAGTTTGTCCTTTGCTTTCTTTTTGTCCTTCCTCGCTGGTGACGTTTGCTTGCGAACTCTCTGCAGGTAGCCGCTGCCCCTCAGAGCTCTCCCGCTCCTCGGCCTTTTCTCTCCTAAATGCACAGCAGCGTGGAAAGTTGCGTCGCGGAGGCTTCACCAAGTTGAGCCGAGTCCGCCACCGCGTGCTGCCAAGTGCCAAAGGGGGCTCTCGGCGGCAGGAGTGTTTGGGTTCTTCTCGGTGACTTTCTCATTTGACAGTAGCAGATGGGGGTGGAGGAGCAGGGGGGGAAGGAGGTGGCCCCGAAGGAGGAAGAGAAGAAGGAGGCGGGGGAGGGTCCGGGCACACCACGGGATCGCAGAGCGCAGCAATGGATATCAGTACAACACGGCAGCACCAGCCTGTGTTCCTGACTCCGGGCAGGGCGCGCTGATGGGAACCCTCCCAAACGGCTGGGTTTGTGTGTGGTGGGGAGGGAAGCTGTCCGCACCCCCAGCACCTGCCTCGTGGGTCTTCCTCTCCGGCTGCCAGTCGGGGAAGGAGGTTGGATGAGGCTTGATCAAACCTGGGGTCGCCGGGCCTCAGAGGAAATCCTCCCTGCTCGCCAAGGCGCCGCGTCTCGCCGTCCCCCAGGCCATGCCGGCTCCCCTCGCTCGGATCCCCTCCAGGCGCGCCAGCCGACTCGAACTCCCAGAGCGCGCCAGGCGTGGAGGGCGGCGCTGACTCCGCGCGGCGCCGCTGGGCGGGCACCGGCCTCGTCCTCTCCTTGCTCCTCTCTGCCGCCGCCCGGCAGTTGCAACTAACTTCGCCCAAGTTTCCTGCGCCGCTGCGCCCCTTTCGGTGCGCTCGCTTCGCAGTGTGCGCCCGCGTGTGCGCCGAGCCGGGGGCCCCTCTCTCCTAGTTTCTCCGGACAGAACCAAGCAGGCGCGGAGGCAGAGGGGCTAGAGGAGAGAATTTAAGGAAACCGCGCAGTCACCTCACTTCGCAGGTCCTCGCTGGGGCTGCTCCTGCTTCCCCGACTCCTGCAGCACGGTGGGCCCCTTCCGGCCCAGGCCACCACTCCGCGGCTCCCGAGGCGGCAGGAGCCCTGTTACCGGGCTCAGGTGAGTGTCGTTACCTGCGTGTGCAGGCGCCCGCAGCCGGCTCTGGATGTGCTTGTCCAGCAGCGGCTGAGAGTGTGTATATCTGGGGGCTTGCGGAGGAGGTGGAGCTCAGGACTCCAGGAGGGAGGAGGGACCAGAGGAGCCTCTTCGCTCCCACACCCCTAGGACCTCGAATTAAACAGGATCCCCACCGGCCCCCTCCCCCCCTTCATACTCCTCCTCCCACCCCTTTTCACTTGAGAGCAGGTTTAGGCGAGTGGAGAGCCCGCAGCGCGTCGCAGAGTCTGCGCACTGTTTGGCGTTGGCAGCCCCGGTGTCATCCCGGCTACCCTGGCCGGTTGGAGCAGCACTGGTGGCGGCTTTGGGATCCTCTGCCCGGAGGACCGAGACGTGCCGCAGGGAGAGTACCTTGCGAACTACGGAGGAAGAGGGGACACACTCTAGAAAATGTTGGAGACTTTTCCTAGCAAGAAAGTACTCATTTCCCTTGGAGGTCCTAATGTTACTTGGCACAGATGCTTCCCACATTTTCTTGGCATAGGTGAGGCACCCAGTCAGAGATAGGAGAGTGAAGGACTAAGCGTGCTTTTGGCAATCATTTCGAAAAGGAGCTAGCGTAAGCTGAGAATAGGCATCTTTGTCTGAATATTCAGCTCTTCAAAATTTCTGGGTGTTTTGTTTTTGCGGTCGTCAGAGCCATCTATATGTTGATCTCTTCAAGGTACACCTAACTTACAGTATCTCATTTAAATGCAGAGAGGGAGAAGGTGTTCAAAGTCAATAAGAAATATGAAATGTTTCTCTGAAATTAAAAAGTAAAACATGCCAATCATGCCTTACTGGCATATTTCTATGTTGTTAAGCACAATTTTCTTTGGTAAGAGCAGTTTTTTCTTTATAATTGACATGATGCAAAAATCAAACAGCATGATTTTGTTTGCATATTTTTCTCACTTCTTGGTATGCTGCAGCATACTTATAACATGATCAGTCTGGAGATTTTACTCACAAGTTGGCCTGCCCTTCAAGGAGAACTTGCTTGCCTTCTTTCTTTGGCAGTTTTGGATTTGACCTAGCCATGTGGTGTGTGCGAGTAGATAGTTCTATAAGCATTTAACTCTTTAAGTGTTCCCTGCTACATATGTTCAATTCATACATAGACATACAGACACAAAGCATTGATTGTAGTTATGAACTTAAATAAAAACCGTTTTAGGTCATCAGTTTTATTTAAAAGTTAGGCTTGTTTTATTGCTCATTTTAATAATAGAGTTTGTTGCTTTAATTTTAGTTGCAAATTAATGCAAATCAGTGAAATGTATAGGAGTCTGCATTTTTCTTAAGATATCACATTTACAAATGTTTACTTTGTAAAAGTTATGCCCTTGTATTGCTAAACAATTGGACTGATTTCTCTAGAACTATATTCCTTCACAGGTTCTATAAAGACATTGTTATTCACAGACTCTGGGTGGAGCAACATTAAAACATTAGCAGGTGTAATTACATAGACTAAATATTAAATATACTGTTTTGTGATTATAAACTCCAAAATTGTCATCCCTGAGCTTTTAACCTACTAACGTGTATAATAGGTTTGAGACAAAAATATTATACACTGTCATACTAAAAGCATATGTATGGGGATGTAAGATATGAAAAACTGTTATTCACTAAACAATATGAATAAAGTTAACTCTAATCATAAAAATTATCTTGACATATACAAAAGCATAAGGATTGAGAAAAGATATTTTATATTGGTTAGTTAAGTTATGATATACTCTTTTCAAATTTGTTTAAAATTATTGCAATAAATTAATACCATGGAAAGAAACGTTTGTATATGTGATTGAAATGTATGCTTGTATGTGCAATGAATAAAAATAAAATACATAAGCTTCCTTGGATATAGTTTTGTAAATTGTGCAATATCGCCTGTTTGGTGATGTTAAATAAACAAAATTTGAAAGTTCTTAAGTCCAAAAATGTTGAGCTGTGCAAAACAAAGGTGCTTTCCATACCTAAAAAAGTGGCTGTTTGTGTGCTTGTTTGTCTATGCACTCAATAAATAAAATTTCACAGATTTCAAAATAGGAGAAATTTGGTTTTCGATTTCAGTCTTTAGGAGATCAATATTCTTAGGTATGCTTGCCAGCCATCGCAAGGCCCTCACAATAAGCCATATGTGAAAGGAAGGCAGCGGGCACTGCTGTTATTAACCAACCTTCATACTTCTTGCCTGAATCTGGTTGAACTTTTCACAGAGTAAGTTTTCATTGCCATTCTCTTTCCTATGTACCCAATTGAAAGGCAGTTTTAATTTCCACAGATTTTATGTTTGACTTGATAGATTGTTATATTTTTGCTCTTGCATATTTTTAACCTAAAAATGAAAAATACCAAGCTATAGGAAAGCAAATAGTCTGTGTGAGTAAACAGTAAAGGAAAAGTGAAAGAGAATCATACGTTTGTTGGGCTTTATATTGTCAACTCTTGATTGTGAATACCTAGAGAACAGTGTACCTTGATCAGTAGTCTGTATGGGCTCTGTATTTTCTTTGTGGTCACAGTAATACCTGTGCTTACAAATATATCTAATCAGAAACAGAGACAGACACTCAGAAAAAGTTTGTGAGTCTGTGTAAATTTAGCATCTTTTCCCCCTTAAAACCTCCCCATTAAATGGTCTTTTTCAATTCTAAAACTTTCACTAGGAGGCAGCAATGAGGTTGCTGGGGAATAAAAAAAAAAAATACCTTTGCAACACCAGACTGGCTTTCTTTCTCTTTCTCTCTTTATTTTCTATAAAAGAGGGGAGAATATTTGAGTCCCAAAGGAAGACAACGGATCAGAGTGAACTAAATAATTTTCCTCCATCTTTTCTGTCTCTGCTCACCGATTTTCACTCAGAGGGCTCACTATTTGTCTAGAACCATGGAAGTGGTAAACCACATGGAAGTGACTGGGCAGTAAAGGTAATACCTTCAAAGTGCCAAAGCCAAGTCATCACACCTGGAACACCGAGAGCAGGCAACTATAGTTAGAGGACTGTGGAATTCTGGTCATAAGCAAATGCGGTGAAAGAATTCATAAGCTTTCATACTGGCTTCGAAAGGTAATACAGCCTGTTTGTCCTGTTAAGGAGGAAATGAACAAACTGTGACAAAAGCCAACCTTAGGCTGTTGTCACAGCTCTCTAGTCCTACTCCTCTAACTGCCTAGTTCTACTATCAGCCCCCCACCCAACAGCCCCACAAAGGGGAAAAATCTCAAACGATGAACCACATAAAGCCTGAGAAAGGAAGAGAGGAGCTGAATCAGTCAAGACAGGAGGGAACAGATGTGTAAGTGGCCCTTTACTGGTTACTGCCAAATTTTCATCTTTTTGAGATTTCTGTCCCTTTATTCTTACTGCTCCAGCCATACGTGGACACTGGGACTATACAGATCAATTATATCATCTTTCCTCATTCATTTCTAGGATGTCATTTTCAAAAGGATGACAGAGCAAGAAAAACAACAGCTCCCTCTCACCCCCTACTCCCCCCGCCAAAAAAAACTCCTAAGGGAAAAAAGACATTACATATAATCCAAGACAGACAACTTCACAAA